GGGCATAGGTATGGGAATATTTCTTCCCATATATCAAATGAGAAAGGCACAATGATGTGTCTTTAATAAGAGGTTTACAGTAACTATATGAAGGCCATAGAAATTAATCACTGATCATTTTAGATAGAAATGTCATTGGTTTATTTTCCACTGTAATTAATATTATAATTGACTTCTGGCTTGGAACTACCTAAAATGCCTTTATATGCATGAAAACTCTACTTATTAGTTTTATAGCTATAAGAAATTTTCCATTCTGGAATAGACCAAATCATTTTACTAACTGTAACTATGTATTTGCCACACTATTCTTTTGCTTTATTTTCTAAATACCAGATATAATTAAATCTTTCACAAAAGGAGCCAAACCCCTATACAACATCCTTCACTGTCTGTTCTTTTGGTGTTTTCTTAAATAAAAAGTTTAAATATTGTTGATATATTTGTTCTCCTTTGAGAGTATAATAAATTTCAATGCCTTTTACCCAAGTGAAACTGAAATATGCTTTTTAGTTAAAAGTTTGACATCCATGTATGGGAAACCAGTAAAAGTCCATATAGTATAGTCCTAGATTGATGAGATAAAATTCACTGAAGGAGAAATTGGAAATCTCTTCTGAAGTTGGGTTGGTTCTCTTAAATATGAATTTAAATCAGGGTCAGTGACATGGAATGCACTGAGCAGCATTCGGGTCACTTAGTATTTGTCATCATTAACTACTTTATTCTAAGAGCAATACATGCATTAAATTTTTAGAAGCTACCTGGATCATTCATAAGCAATATAAAATCAGTGTAAATAATCAATCTGAATTAAAAGCATGCGTCAGCTTCAGACTGGATTTGTCAAAGCCTTGTGTACAGGCCCTGTCTCCTTTATCATAAGAGGGTTTCATCTTATAACTGGGTGATGATCCAGAACCAACTTCATTTCTAAATACGATGGAATTCCCCAGTTCCTGCTGGTTCCCAATGTCATCTGAATCAGAATTCTAATGAAGACTTCACAATATCATAGGCTTAGTATGATAAAGCAGGTATATTCTTGGCTTTTGGTAGGTAAGTGGAGGAAGAAGGGATCTATTTAAAAATGTAAAGGTGTAACAATAAAAATAGCATCTTTTTCCGCTATAGGGAACAACTTTTGGGGGGGGGGGGCGGGATAGTGGGAATTGAGCCCAGGGGCTTCTCAATGAGCTACAAGCTACATTCATAACCCTTTCAAAATTTTTTATTTTAAGACAAGGTCTTGCTAAATCACCAAGTTCCCCAGACTGAACTTTAGTGTGTGATCTTCCTGCCTCAGCACCCCAGAGTGCTAGAATTATAGACATACAGGACCACACCTGGAGGAGAGCAACCATCTCATGCATTGTTCTCCGATCAGGAAGTTCTGCTTCCTACCAAAGAATTGGAGAGAATAATAGATAAAACAAAGAATGAAAGGAGGAGAAGCTCAAAAATAACACAATATTCAGTCTAGAGCAAAAGGCTGGGGAACAAGGAAAGATCACCAATGAAGGACAGGCATTTGGCATTTTGGAGGATTTACACTGCCGCCTTAGGAATGTTAGAGTAAGAGCAACCTAGTCATAAAACGGTTGGGGTTTGTCTGCGTGTTTTCATGTGTACTGAGTATTTTTCGTGTGTATTACTCTATGCCAGGAGATGACAGCACAAAGAGACGGCTAAAAAATGTTTCTCGTGGAGTTAGGTCTAGAACTGAATGTGTTCTGTCAATTTCAAATAGCTGTCATGCTTGTTATAAATGGAAGTGCATTTTCTACCTAAGGGACAAAAATTGTAGTTTATTTCCATTTTCATGGCTCCTATTTTTCACAGTGTAATTCTCAAGGGAAGCATTACATTCAAATTGTGGGTGGCTCTGGAAACTACCCTTAATCCCACTCCCACTCCATTAGTTTAAATGGGAAAAGTTGTATTGGTTCCATTTCCCTAGTGTGTACTGTGTGCAGCCTGGTTACTTCCCAACTAAAGAACTTTGATGAATAATTGCCCAGGGAACGCAATTACATCAAAAGTGCTCTCCTTTAACATTTGTTAAAATATTCCGGAATCAAGTGTTAAACTCCTACTATATGCTAGATTATTGGTCATTATAGCTGAAGAATGCATGATTTTATCAGAGATTACACTGTAGTGAGGAAATAGATCTTGTAGAATCAACAAACCATAATATCAAGTAATGCTCCAAAGGCCAGAAATCATTAGAGATTCATTTTTCTTAAGCTTCATATCTCATCAGCTTGCCATGTCATGTCAATTTGATTTCCTAAATTACTCTTGAAACTGTCTCTTCCTTCTATTTTTCACCACTGATACTGTGTGGGCCCTCTCTTTTTACTTAGACTATTGCAAAAATAGCCTACTTCACTTTCTTCCAATCTCATTTTCCAGAAAAATCTCTTTCTAAAATCCAGATTTTATACCCTTCAAATTCACAACTTTCCAGTATCAAATTCTAACTCCTCTTCCTCCTCCTCCTCCTTCACCTCCTCCTCCTTCTCCTTCTTTTTCCCCTCAGACAGAGTCTTGCTATGTAGTTCAGGCTGGCCTTAAACTTGTGGCAAGCCTGCCTCACCCTCCTGAGTGCTGCTAGGATCATAGGCATGTGTCACCATGCCTGTTTTAAATTCTAGCTTCTTGACTGAGCAGAAAGAGGTCTTTGGAATGTGGGCTCAGCTTCTTTTCACAGCCCTCTTTCTTCCCTTCTCCATAGGCACCTTCTACTTCAAGTAGACACATAACTCTGGCTGACCTATTTCTGTCTTTCAGTTTCACGTCTCTGAATAAACACGTCTCTATCTGGAATGCACAACCTTGCCTAAGCCTACACAGCCTTCACAACTCAGAGTAAACATCTCCTCTACAAAATTTCCTCTCTTCCCCCCTATAGCCTACAACATGATTTCAATATTCCATCTCTACTCATAGGGATCCTCTACATCCACATATCACAGCTCTTATCTTACTATGTTATACTTGCTGATCTGCTTTTTCCAGCTCCTCTACTGGATGGATTATAAGCACTTTGAGTTTAGAGATTATGTCTTATAAATAAATACAGTAGAATTATGAAAACACAGATAATGGACGGAAAGAATAAATGGATAAATATCAGGAGGACAGATGCCAAAGTCAATATCCTGGCTGGAAAAAAAGAGAAAAGGCTATACTACAGTGCAGTAGAAGGAGTGACATTTAAATTTGTCCATGAAAGATGAGCAGGAATTTACTAGATGAATACATAACTTCTTTCTTATTTGCACAAATTAAGATAATGCTAAACTAAGTACATTAGAAATTTTGATTCATGGAGATGACTAGGGCTAAACAGTAGGTAATCTAAGTAGCATAGTTATTTGTAATATACATGGACATCATGTTTTGCATGCCTGCTTAATTATAACATGTTGATTATACAGCAAATCATCTTGCTTGTCCTGAATAAACCAGTTCTAATTTTACTTTATCCCTGGTTACATAAATCCAATTAAACTGTTGTTCTTATTAGGAAAGCTGTTTTCAAAAGTTAACAGGGTTATTTAAGAAATGAAGCGAATTTCATGATAACCTGTATATTCATGAGCTAAGCAAAGAATAATGGACAAATAAGTACAAATTGATTCAAACTTAAGAACTTAAAGTTTTTTGGTTTCTTTCCTCCCATTTTCAATGGGTTCTAATGTAACTTACTAGTTTTTATTTCTGATAATAATAGTAAAAATAGAATAAACTGTTTAGATTTTTTTTAATATGGTAAAGTCAAAACATAACTTTTGAAATCTTTTATAGGTTTAAATACTAAAATAAATTAGAAATCATATTATAAATCCTTTTTCAAATTATGCAGCTCTATCAAGATAACTGTACTATTAGCCATTTTTATATGCATGTACTGTAATTAGGCTCTTCTGGTTCATTTTATGTAGCGATGGCTACTGATTAAAAACAAACCATTATATAACATCAAACAAACGTCACCTTTTTTCCAGCATAAATCTAGAGTCAAAATAGGATCATCATTAGCAAAAGTCAGAATTAAAACTTAGACTGAAAGTATCTTGCCAAAGTTTTCTAGGAAGTATTGATGTTTATTTTTTTTCTTTCATGGCTTACTTTTGATTTTAGGACTTCAGGAACTGAGGGGAAGTAATCCTCATAGGAACCATTTCGAAGAAAAGATTTTTTAAATCGAATTGTGGACTGCAGAAGTCTTAGATTTTCTGTAAAGGGAAGAAGAGTTACTTTATGTGAATTGCAAGGTCATTTGAGAAGTACTTTTGAAAGACACATTTACCCTGATTTATTGCTAAGTTTTTTTAACATAATAGCCAAGTTCAATATAAATAGAACATGAGTGAAAATTTAACCTTTCCTTGAACCATGTGAACTATAGAGTTCATTGTTTTAATAATATTCATACACAATCTACTTAGAGATAAAAATATCTCTAGCAAAGGTATTACATGTTTTTTGCTCTTTTTGAACTACATATGCTTTCATTCCCAACTTTTGGATCTATTAATAAAGTATTGGGGGGGAAAGATTGTATAATCACTATGATGTAAATATCCCCTTACAACCTTGATTAATTCATTCATGGTAAACACGGCTTATGTTATTTGTACAAATGTTGTTCTATTTGCTTGTCATAAAGTCTCAAAAATACTCCTGTGTTAAAAAAAGTATGACTCCTAGAAAATGTGAGAAAATAGATGTTTTCTCTTTAAAATTTTTAAAAAATTGACTTAATTGTAATCTTCGTGGTTGCTTATATGGGAAAAAAATTGAAAATAAAATGAGTGAGGGTAAGAAATGAAAAATAGTCTGTCACAAAAATGCTTTTGTTTATGTAATTTACATCTCCTTTTGGAACTCTATTGTCAGTCTTCCTTATTACTGTAACAATGAAGACTATCACAGGCATAGGAAACGTGTACAAGGGTTATGTGATCCCTTGATGACTCTGGATATTTGAAAAGTTTGTCCAAGCAGCCATTATTACATGATACAGTACATGATCATTATATTAAAGCTTGTCCAGGTAGCCTGCTGGCACTAGTAGCAGGACAGAATATAATAATATGAGTAAATATTTCCTATATAAATCAAATTCTCAAACTGAAACTGACACATATGAAAAATATGTTCTAAAAAGTTCTTTCGTTGTTAAGCAAGCATCTTAGAAGACAATATGTTAGAATGGAAATAGAAACCTTGAGCAAAGTTTTACTATTAATAAGAGTATTACCTGGTGATCCCCTGGCCAAATTGTTAGTCACATTTCTCACACACGCCAAGTAAGGAAAGTAAGGACTATTGGATGAGATATTTAAGATAGCATCTTCAAAGTTTTCCAGGATTAGGAGCCTTTAGAATTAGAAAAAGAACGTATAAGTTAAGTCATCTAAAAGGAAAACAAAGTTGTTTTGTTGAATTCATGTTAGTCAAAGGTTGTTTGGGGTTGCACAGCTGCAGAGCTGTACGTTTTCCTTCAACAAGCCTGACAAGGTGGAAACTATTCTCGATTCTCTGAGTACTTGCTTTCTCCAAAGGCATTCTATTTATATTTAATTATTTTAACATTTATTTTCAAATTAATCACATCAAATTAGTTGCCATGTGAGGACATAACCTAAGGTTTCTAAGGCATATGTACCTGAGTAAGTGTGTGTGTGTGTGTGTGTGTGTGTGATGAGGTGATGTGTGCCCCATCAATTCAATTGTGAGGCACCATCTCTGTTTTACAACATCTGCCCTTAGCATCTACTATTGAATGCTATGTACAGTACAAAGACTGAAGGTCAACATCGAATTTGGAAGCCATCTGATTTGAATCAAAATATATAATTTGCAAATTAACTAGTCCTATCAGATGCTTAACTCAGATTTTATTAAAGTGCTAGTAGGAAAGATGTAACCTGGCATAGCTACTAAATGTAGGAAAATGTTCGACTTAATATTAAAGAAAGCTCAGGGTTCCTAGATGAGAGTTAATGATACTGGATCTTTCAGGAACTCAAAAAGGAAAAATTCAATGGCAGGAAAAGTCCTTAATATGGCAATAAGATTAAAGTGGAGTGGTTATATGGCTGGCTCTTATTTAAATACAAGTTTTTTTAAAAGAACCAATTCCCGTCGTTTCTCGGCCTTTTGGCTACGATCAAGCGTAGAAGAACCAATTCCCAAAGCCTTTTACTTTTTTCTTAGGCATTTCATTGAATAAAGACTTTTGATAATATTTTTGGTTGCCTTAGATCTTTAAGCTCTCTGACAGTTATTCTCATTATTCATCAAAGCCTTCTTTTAGGTAATCAATGCCATTTATCAATTTACCTATAAAAGACAAGAGAACGTATTCTTAGAATAAGTTTTCTGGTCTAAATAACAAGAATCTATCAGGGAAATTTCTAAATCACATCATGACTATTGAAAACCCACAGGAATATGATAGTTTAACCATACAAATATCAAGTCATGTCTATATATAGTCAAGTTTCACGGATTGTCCCATCACCCATGACCTCAGTGGTCAGGTCAAATCAAGGTCATGGTAAACAACATACTCACAGCCTGAGACAAAAACCCCTCACAGAAGCTGTCTTAAGACAAAACCTCCTGAGCCAATGTTTTGACACATACGATAGCTTTAAAAATTTTGACAGAAATGGGAGGCAGTCTCAGAAAGAAGATCCAGAGGTAAAGTAGAAGATGGGATTTTAGAATCTAAAATATCTAGGCAGAGACAAATGAAACTATGGCAATAATTATAAATTTATTATATCATTTTCTTTTGGAAGCACTAATCCATTTATTTTGACTATAGTAGTAAGTATAAGTTTAAAGAACAACTTAGTCTCCTATGAATAACTCAAAGGTATGTTAATTCACTTAATTTTGTATCCTACTCTTCCCTCACTCTGACTGGCATTTTTGATTTGTACTCTTGAGTTGACAGCTATGAATGGTAAATATATAAGTAAAAGAGATCTAGGAAGCTTCAGAAATACTGGCCATTTATCTGAGATGTGGTCAGCAGGGCATCTCTGGACAGTATGTGGGGTAGTTACCCTTCCTTCCTTAGTGAATGGGCTCTCTCTCTCTCTCTCTCTCTCTCTCTCTCTCTCTCTCTCCCCTTCTCTCCCTCTCTCTCTCTATCTCCTTTTATTCCAACTCTTTTCAATATTGCCTTTCCTACTCTTGTGTTTGTTTTCCTCTCTGTCATAGTTATTATAGTACAGAGCCAATTCTAACAGGGTACAGTGCTCAGCAGCAAAACACTGGCCTAAACTTTTGCATGGACTGGAACAAGAGATTCCCATGGTGTAGTATCAAGCTTGGAATAAAGAATAGACTTGGACTTGAAGTGACCTTGAAATATCATCATAAGCCTATTTGATTGTCAAGATATTTGAGAATGAATTTAATATACTTTAAAAATTAAGATTCCATGTGTACACATGAGTGTTTTGTCATAAACACCCAGGAAGTTCCTTAAACTATTCAATTTATGTGTTCTTTAACATATAACCCTGCCTACTTCCCAAGAGTGCTTACTATAAAAGGAAAGCCATGGATGTGCACACTTATATGTACACAAACACACACACACACAATAAAAATAAGGACCTTAGCAAAAAATAATGAAGGAGAAGAGCTGTGAGGGGAAAAGTGTTTTTGAGGAACTATCTTTAGAAAATTCTAGACCAAAAAAACCCAACCCCTTTTATCTTGTGCCACTATTGCTACTCTGTGATTATTTTAAAGTAGGAGTGGAAGGGAAGTGTGAAGAAATCCTTTAATTTCATCAATCACAACAAAAGCCATCTTAAAAGTATTGAATTCATCCTAATAAACTGTCAGCTGGCTGTCAGCTCCTAACTGCATTTGCTGCAGGATTTGTAAGACTGAGGCTCTGGCTTTGTCAATGCTATGGATGCCTCCAGGTCCTGATAAAGATACCTGGCATCAGCACCAAGCCTCCACTTGTCTCAGTGTAAAGATTTTTAAAAATTCTTATTATTTTTGAAAGCTATATAGAGAGTGTGTTCAAAGGACCCAACAATTGGAAAGCTGGCAGCCTAAGTAGAGGGAAATTGTCCAAGGACTCTAGAAAGAGCATCTGGGTTAATCATCATGGGGTGGGGGGGACATATCTACATGCCTAAACATTTATCATTTCTTTCTAGTGAAGATGTTCGAAATCCTTCCTTCTGGCTTTCTGAAATGTACAGTACATAATTGTTGACTGTGGTCGCACTACCGAACAACAGTACAGCAGAACTTCCTGCTCCTAACTGTAATGTAAGATACTGATCAACCTTTCCCTAGTCTCTTTCTCTTGTTTCTATTTATCCAAATTTCCATTACCACAAAATTTTGGAAAATTTATCAGGCTAAAGCAACATTTACCTAACAACCTGTCTAGTCTGCAAATTTGGCTTGAACTATAGGAATTTGCCTCAATCAGCTACTACAAGCCACTGCTTGTATTTCAACCAAAATTATTAGGCCTCTGCTTCCATTGATGGCTTCTAGACATCATGGTTACTGCTGTCATTTCCACTGCCTGTCTTTGGGATATCCTTTTTATATCCCAATGAAAGTCCCAAACCTAATGATCTATAAACAATTTGGCCTACCTAAATACTAATACAAGCAAACAAATTTTGTCTTATTTTGATTGAGCGTAAAAATATTTTGATTCTTTAAAAACTAAAAAAAAGTAATAAGAAGAAACACTGGACGCTGCCATGGTTGGCATGTCTCTCTCCACTCACCCAATTCATATATTGAATTCCTGAATCCCAGGGTGAGGAGAGTGGGCCCTTTGGGAGGTGGTTAACTTATGAGGGCAGAAGTCTCAGGAACAGAAATATAGTGGAGCAGAGAGCTGGCTTGCCCCTTCTGCCGTGTGAGGACGTATTAAGAAGGCATCTATGAACCCTAGTGGGCCTCATCTGATACCAAATCTGTTGGAACCCAGATTTTGGACTTCCTAACCTCCAGAAGCGTGAAAAATAAATTTTAATCATTTATATGAAATTTCTATTGTTTTCTTGTTTCTAAGCCACCTTGCTTTTAGCATTTTGCTAGCAGTTTAAACAAGGAAAGACATTTATATATTTTTCATATATATATGTGTGTGTGTGTGTGTGTGTGTGTATGTATATGGTGAAAGATTTTAAAAGAGATGGAAACTAGACCTCTAGTTAGATTCTCCTTATAGGCCTAAAGTAACCAATGCAAACATGACATATTAGACCTAGTTGTGTCATCTTTGAACTGAAAGAGATCCCTGTGTTGTGTATCCAAAAATATCACAGAATAATTTTAAAAAAGTAAGTTTGAACTTCACTGTGCTTTGGCTCTAACCTTTCCTTTGCTCAGTCAATAGCTGATTTTTCCATATCTTTCTTTGTTTTTTTCCATTCTGAGGATTGAACTTAGGGACTCCACACTGACATACATTTCCAGCCCTTTTTTATTTTTAAATTTTGAAACAGGGTCTTGCTAAACTGCTAAGTTGCCTAGGCTGGCCTCAAACTTGCAATCCTCCTGATTCAGCCTCCCAGTGTGCTAGGATTACAAGTGCGTGCCAGCAGCACTCTCAGTTTATGCCACAGTTTTCCACCCGGACAAGAGAAGTACGTTGATGAGCTGTTTTGTGGCGTATTCAGCTACCAACTCATAAACAAAGACTTACTGTGCAGCCAGACTACTTGGGGACAGTGTCCATCCATCATCTTCGCCCCACACGTAGGATGTGTTCTCAGATGACTCTGAGTAAAGGAGTAATATTTACATAGGTCAACATTTAACATGCTGGCTTAAAGATTTATGTTTTCTCCCAATCCATCTCAAGTCAAATTAATGGAAAGAAAATATGCAAAATATGAAAATATTGTCCCAAAAGAATTTTACAAAGAATGATTAATGCTCTTTTTCTTGGAAATATTTCAGATATTTATATGAAATAGGTACCTACTAATCAAGATAAACTTAATGGTCAAACACACCTATTTTTAACCAATTCTTTCTCTGTGCAATCAAACCTCTACAGCATTTTGTTCCAAGACCTGTTTGCATAGATGACTCTTAAACCCTATAATTAATATGGACCATCACATGATTTGTTAATCAAATGAAGCCAATTTCAGTCTTACAGGTCATCAGAAATTTTTTATTGGCTTTCAGTTGTTTATGATGTAGCCTTAGAAAATACCTGACATGGCTAATCTGTATTTTCTATGTTTCAAAAAGCAGCCACTGGTCATTGAAGGCAGCTGTGAATGGAAATTAGCTAATGCTAATAGAACTGTATGGGGCACCTCAAATAAGAAAGTGCAGAATGTGCAAGGCAATCATTGAGTTGGATCTAACAAAAACCATACGTAAAGATTCATTTTACGTCAAGAGTTGCTCCTAGAGGTTAAATGGGTCATTGATTCAACCTGTTGCATAGATTGTATAATAAAAGAGTGAGCTTGCAACAGTATTCAAATGAAAAATTAAAATTCTTTAAATGGCTACTGCATAAATAAAAATACCATAAATCCAATACTTTAAGTCAGCTCCTTTAGGAAAATAGTATCACTTATTTCAATCTTTTTACAGATACTACTCATTTCTTATATATAATCCAGTGTGTTTTAATGCTATCATTTTTAACATTGGCCTAATCCCTTTCAATAGGATATTCCTTTTACCAGCCTTAAGAGCTCTTCCATTATTTCTTGGTAGTACATCCTAAAGTTTTCTTCAGTGGTTCTAGTGAAATAGTATGAAAGCATCCATGCTTTTCCGATGCTGATTATTTTGCTTAAATTAACATGTGTGTAAAAAGGTCATCCCAGAGTCAACAACCTCCTTGTCTACCTCCTGTACCATTCGTATTGAGGCAATGTTTGCTTGGCCTCTTATATCTGGCAGGGGGACTTTTTTGTTTGCCTCTTCAGCAGAGCATATTTTCCTTTGCTTGGCTCAAGGTTCTGCTGAATATTATTTTTCTACCTGTAGAGCATTTATCAGTAAGCCAAAAGACCAAAAATATGAAAATGTTCAGTATAAATAAACCTAATCAACCATAGTAATACCTGTCACCTATTAGAATCCATATATAGAATAATCAAGGACAGAAATCTGTTGAGATTTATGCTTTTGCAATGTAAAAGTATATAAAACATTTTTCAGAGATCAAATCTTGCTCACTTTGAAATCCTATGTGATGCTTGCAAGTTAATTGACATTTGTATACTATGGTGTTACAGGGTTTCTCCTTTACTTCAAGCTACTAAAGTGAATAGCTAATAGAAATTAACTTTATGTTATCAATGATAGACTTGACCTGAAGTTAAATAGAAACTTTTCTCTCTGGCCACTAAGGACTACAAAGTACCTTAGAAGAAAGACTGTTAAACAGGCCTAAATGAAGTAGAAAATGTTACATTGAAAAGTAAAATTTTATTTCTTTGATTTTTGTAAGATTAGGCATATTTTTAAATGGTACTCACTGACATCAGATAATCTTTTTTTTATCAGTAAAGATTCCTTTCTATTTGAAAATGCAATTTCATATAATTTTTAATTTTGGAAAGAGCAAATTCCAATGAGTCAAAAATGTATTCTCTGCTCCTGAAACTCAGTCTTTATAAAGAGATAAAAGACAATCTTCTCCCCAGGTGTTTATTAATAACCCCATGTTTTCATGGTTGCTAGGAGGCCCCCAAAGAAACCTTGAGGGGGCCGGGGATTTAGCTCAGTGGTTTCACCTGCTGCACAAGCGCAATGACCAGAGTTCGATCCCCGGTACAAAAAAGAAACAAAAAAAAAGAAACCCTGAGGTGTGATCATAATTCGTGTTGGATCAGAAACAGATATAGGGAAGAGGGGCTGTGAAGGAATCATAGTGTGGAAATAAATGGAGGATGACTGTGGAAAAAAATTGCCATGTAGGAAAAAGTGTGGCACAATGAACCAAACACCATCAGTGTCTGACAGTGGGGACAGTGCTCAGGTCAGGTGGTGGCAGGAACTTGAATGTCCCAGTGTGTCTGTACCCCAGAATAAGACATGAGTGATACAATCTATAAAAGACCCCAAAGGACTAGGCATTAAGGATCCAGGTTCTACTCTCAGCCTGGATACTCGCTGGTTGTATAAATAGGCAAAGTGCTCAGCCTCTGTTGCTTCAGTTTCTATTTGTCAAGTAGGATAATAGGATTATCTTGATAATAAAAGGAACTTAATATAATAAAGCACTTAGCATTGTCATAATAAATAGTAACAACTATTTTCCTTATTTGAGATAGTGAAGTGAAAGCTGAAGATATCTTAACCCTGGCAGACCTTAGAGAGGAGTCTAGCAACTGTGCTATGAGACACCATCTCTACTCCAGCTTCCCTGAGGTGTAGAACCAGGGGAGAAAGTCTGATAGCTTCAGAAATAGCACTGAACACTGTAAAAACTAAGCATAGGGTGGCCTGGCAATGTAGTAGATGGCTGTACTGGTGGCCAGGCTGGAGACTGCTGTGTTGTAATTTAAGTGTCACTCTTTCAAGTTTGAGTTCACTGAATGACTTCCAGAAATATCTAGGGAAAATTTTTCAAAGGTTACAAAATTTGTGCTCGAGTAAATAGAGGTTGGGGGTTAATCACTTCTAGGAACAGACATAAGTGTATCTATACTTTAATCCCAAACTAATGAAGTCATAAGTGCATGAAATTTAAAAGAAATGATACAAAGAAAATGTATCAGCATCATGATACAAAGAAAAGCACGTCAAAAATTTCAGACAAGAATACAGTTTTTTTAGAGTTTTTCCTTTTCATCTTGACCACAGGATAACATGTTTTAATACTTGGCAAAGTCATTAGCATATTCAGACATCAGGCACAGCCATTGTTAAATATTAAAAACTGAGTTACATCATTCACCAAGAAAAGTGTTTTATTGCATTGTGAGTTAGAAGTGCTGATTACTTGTCTGATTTCTAAGGCACAGGTGAGCTTTTGTCCTTTAGGAAAAACATCTTAACTTTATCACTTTAATTTATGCTAATTAGAAGGTGTGAGCCTGAAGATAAAAAGGAAAAGAACAGTAAGAAGAAATGTGAAATTTTCAAGTCATTAAAATGCAAATATAAAAAATGGTTCTCTGGCTGGACTTTTTAAACAGTAAGCTTTCTTTTCTAATGTTCATCAAGACCATTAAATTTAACAACAATCAATCTTGCAAGCTAGTCATTAATTCTGTAAATATAGACATACAAATCTCTAGTCTAATAGAAACTGGTATTCAATTGTAGGTTTGACCCTCCAGTGAGAATTCTTCAAAGCGTTCTCACATGTCCTTCTCATATGAAAACTGGAATTTTAAGACAAAACAATGAACAATCAGCTTTTGTCCTATGCTCTCAGGTTGTTTACTTTATAAGCAAAGAGTAAAAGTCTACATATTTAAAAGCTGACAAACTCAGTTAAGAAACCATGATTCTAAATTCATTCAGGAAAAGTAAATGTTAACCCAACATTTTATTTAGGACGTAGGGATTTATTTCTTATAGCCCTAAACTGCTGTCTGCATGTGTTTGCATGTATATCTTCTGTATGTTTCCATGTGGATAGTAGATAATGCTGTTCTACAAATGCAAAGGGGACATTTGCTGACTCATGAGCAATTTGCTGCACTTTATCTTACTGGGTTGACTGGAATTTACCGATTTAATTGTAGTAAGGTATCCATCATGCATTTTCAAGATGGTTAGTTGAGGGTACATTTTTTACCAATAAAAATTCCTATTTATTAAAAAAAATTGAAGTTCAGAAATCAGGGCAAAAATCTTGTAATTCAGTTTAGGATTTGGTCCCAAAAATTAGTACCAGGAATCTATTTATTGAGGCTTACTCCCTGATATTTATTTTGCATCTCATGTCTAAACATACATAGTTTTACAAGCTCCCAGAGATCATTTTTACATAAGTAAAAAATCCTGAAAGCTTTTTCAGCCATCTCTTCCTTTCTTCACACGTCTACTGGAAGTCTGGATTTATTTGTAGCATATGTCCTCACCTACGAATAATTTCATCTATACATGAATACTTCAGTTACACTCTATTTTACATACCTAATGGGCTTTGTGACATTGCTTTTAATACAGTAAGATGGAAATATAATACCTTGAGTAGGGAAGTCTAGGGTGTAGAGCAGATGTTTAACAGACTTCTGAAGGGTTCTGAAACCTTCGTTAGTTTCAACTCGGGGATAAAACTTCTGCAGGGCCAGCAGCACCCTAACAAGTGAAAAAATAATTACACCAGGTTATGTTTCAAGGCTTGTAGACAGAAGCAAAAGGGAATTCAAGGAGAAAATGACCATAGCACAGAAAATTATTCTGAAAAAGATGTTGCTTTTGTAATTTAATTATGTGTTTTCTGTTCATGCACAATATCCTAGCAAAAATGTTCTTGAACCAGAACAGAGAGCTTTATATTTCTAGGACTGTAAAGCTTCAGATGCAAAGGCTTTGAAATAAGGGAGGAAAGTTCCCATCCTTTTTTTTCTGCTAAGAATTATAAACAAGTGGTTAGGAAAACCAACTTGCAATAAAAGTATACCCTTTTTAGTTAAAGGAAAAAAATAAATATTAGACGTTATTTTCATTAACAATCAAAGTCACATAAAGGATCCTGTTTTCAGGAATAATTATTATTTAAACATCTTATAAATATTTATCTTTTGCTAAACATATGATAATGTTTTGGGAAAAATGGATCTTGCCCTAATTAAAAATTGTATTTTATCCTCCAAGTGGCCAAAAGGCACTAATCCAAAGGTAGTTCGAATTCATATCCATACTAATTGGCACTGTTTCCTTAGCTTTTGTGTGTTACCAATAAGATGGGTAGTCCACAGAGGGGTAGAGAATGAGAAAATTCTCTTTTGTGCGATTTCATTCTATATTTCAAAAATCAATTTACTACTTAAGAAACTTTCTGTTTGGGGAATTTTTTTGGCTGAATTGGAAATCAAATCCAAAACCTCATGCCTGACAGATAAGTGCACTAACTACATTAATCCACAGACACTTTTTTTTTTTTGAGTTGGGTCACTAAATTGCTCAGGCAGACTCGAACTTTTGATCTCCTGCCTCAATCTACCCAGTAGGTGGAATTACAGGAGTATGCCACCACACCCAGTTAAGAAATGCCTTTTTATCCTTTTATGATCATTATCATATTTTTTATTATCATATTTTAAAGCAATGTTGCACCTACGCAAATATGCCTGAATTTCACTGACAGTGTAGTTTATACCAACAATCAAGGCTGAATCAATGCTTTGAGTAGTAACAGAACAAAAGGCTTTTGTTAACAATTTGCCATTGTGAAGTTAAATGTGGTACAAATTAGCTAATAGTTTTTCCCTGTCAATTATATCAGTAAATTGAAAGCTTAATCCAACAATAAGTCAAGTATGTGGGCATACATTTCATAGAATTCTATAATACTTTGCACTTTTAAAAATTTTTAACTAAAATCATTTTCGTTTTGGCCACCTGAATATAAATGAAAGGTGTTTAGAGGTAAACTTTAAGTGCCCTCTAGTTTCTAACATAGAGATATACATATAAATATGTACACTTAAGTAAATACACATAAATCATATATGTATATATATAAATTTAAACATATATTTAAAATTTGGTTCTCTAATTATTCCATGAAGTCAATAATTCAAATATTTAGCACATAATTATCTCATTTAATCTGGAAGGATCATTGTTATTAATATTGCTAATAAAACATCAGCAGTTTGAACACTTCTTTCTCTAACAGACAATAATGACACCTGGCCCCCATCTTCTCTGAAATCCTTTGAATCATTAAGATATATTTATTTTCTTCATAGATTGTTTTCTGCTTTTCATCATACGAAAGTGGAAGTTATCCAAAATGAATCACTTTTATGCATAAAGATAACTTCTAAAAAGAGTTTTATGAGTTGTATCTCAACATACGCCTTTTCCTCGTAAAAGTTGAAAAGCATTTTTTTTTTCATATACTGTTCCTGACTTTTGAGCTTTCTCATTGCTTGTCTTGCTGTCTTCTGCCTGACGTGAACTGCTTCTCCTTTGTGATGCTTGTCTGCCACACCACTCTGCCTTGGAGACAGCTGAATATGGACTGAAACCTCTACAAACTGAGAGCTAAGCTTTAACTTTGGGTGTCTAGTATTTTGTCTCAGCAACAAGAGAAAAGTAACTAAGACACTTTACATTACATAATCTGATTTTGGTGACTGGTTCTACATATGCAGTTTACAATTTAAAAAATAATAGCAGCTGAAGGAAATGGAAGTTTCTATGTGATCTCTCTGTCACTTTTATTTATTCAACAAAAAGTAAAATAAGCCAATGAGACCATAATTTGATGATAAGTTTGATGACAGTTTTGTGAGGAAATTATGGCTTTTAGAGACAGTCAGCTTAATTAAAAATAATGCTAAAGATTTGACTTTCAAAAGATATTCCAATAAAGTAAAAAGCAAGAAACTTATTTGAATATTCTAATACCTAAAGGAAGTTAAAACAAAATTAATACACTTTAACCTCATATATCCAAACTTTTATCTTTTCAATATTTAATCAATCTAAAATATTAATAAAATATCTTAAACTCTTCATTGTACCAAGTCTCCAAAATTCACTATGTGTTTTATACTTCTGAACATCTGGATGCTGACTCTAAATTTTTACTGAAAAATTTTACTCTGTATTTAGATTTCTTTAAATTTAAAATGAAGAGGTAAATTCAGATATTCAAGTTGATCCAAATATATTTAAAAGTTTTCTAATAATGAAATGAAACATCAGTTTTCTGAAGTAATCTCTTCATATTTATTGTTGAGTAGAATTCAAAAATACAGTATTAATAAGTCATCATTTGTTGATCCATTCTTCTTATAGATATTTGGCCCCTTCAAGTTTTTCCTATTATGAATAAGCATGGAGTTATAAGGCTTCATGTGAGCATGTTTCCTTTTCTTGTTTACACATTCAAGTGTAGAATGTGCTACCGTAAGCATCTGTTATTCCACTTCTTGAAAAGATGTCACACTACCTTACAAATTGCATCAGTTTCTACTCTAACTTGCAACATATGAGAATTTCAGTTACTCTACATTTCGTTAGCACTTTGGATTATCCAACTTTTAAAACTGTACCCATTCTATTGAATGCATAGTGATATCTTTTTTGTGGTTTGAATATTATTTTGACCCTTTTCTTGGCTACACAGTACAATTTAAGTGATTCCCATTCACCTCTAACTGATTCATCTATTTTCTTTCAAGACAAGACTATAAATATGAGGGAAAAGATCAAGCGTTAAAATTCCAGGTGACTTAAAATTTTTCTAAGAGCTGAAACAAGGAATAATCTGGAGAATTAAATGGCATGCTATTTTCTCTGTACTGCAGTTATGACATTCCATCATGGAAAGAGCCAAGGACTTGGATTTGCATTTCCCAAGTTCAGGTACTGGTTTTGCCTTGTACTAGTAGTTGTTGAACCTTGGAGAGAGGTCATATGATCTCCATAAAGTTTTTCCTTCTCTCTCTTTTTTCTTTTCCATTTAGTTTCTTGGTACATTTTAGGTATACAATACAGTTACATTCATCATTGGGATCTTGTATCTTTACATGATGTATCTTGGTTCTTATTTTTTCCCCATTCTCCTGCCCTCCCTTCACCCCCTCCACCCTTCCCTATTTACAAAGACTTTGTTTCCATGTTTTTCCTTTTCTCATATTTTTTCTTTTCCCTTCTTTCCTTTCCCACACCCCTCCCACTTCCCCTACTCCTTTAGATATTTTCTTCCTATTTCACAATATCAATTATACATTTTGATTCTTATCACTTTTAGTTTTTCACATCAGAGAAACTATTCGGCATTTACACATGTGTGTCCCATTTATTTCACTTGAGAGTATGGCCTCGGTGTGCATCCACTTAGCTACAAATGTCTCCAGTTTCTCATTCTTTATGGGTATTACACCATTTTATAAAAAAACACATCTTTATCCAATCTCCAGCTGATGGGCAATTGGACTGTTTCCAAGTTTTAGCTAATACAAACTATGTCACACTATGCCACTTTTAACATGGGTGCACATATATCACTCTGGTATGATTCTTTTAATTCTTTTGGGAAGATCTCCAGTAGAGGAACAGCTGGGTCAAATGAGACTTCCAGTCCTAGTTGTTTGAGGTATCTCCATACTGATTTCCACAGTGATTGCACCAGCCTACACTCCCACCAACAATGAAGAAGGGTTCCTTTCTCCCCACAACCCTGCCAGCATTTGTTATTGGTTGATTTCATGAGAGTAGCCATTCTTTCAGGTGTGAAATGGAATCTCAGCTTTGTTTTCATCGGCATCTCTCAAATGACCAGTGATGTTGAACATGTTTTCATATATTTATTTGCTGCTTTTACTTCTTTGCCTCAGAAATGTCCATTCACTTCAGATGCCCATTTTTGAATTGGGTCTTTATATTTGGGTTTGTTTTTTTTTAGTTCTTTATATATTCTAGATAGTAGTCCTTTGTCTGAGGAACAGCTGGTAAAAACTTTTTCCCACATTGTAGGCTGTCTGTTAGCTCTGTTGGTGGTTTCTCTTACAGTGCAGAAGCTTTTTAATAAGATGAGATCCCAGGGCTGGGGATTTAGCTCAGTGGTTCCGGCGCCTGTCTCGAAAGTGCAAGGTCCTGAGTTCGATTCCCGGTACCAAAAAAAAAAAAAAGATGAGATCCCAGCTGTTGATTCTTTGTGCTAGTTCCTGTGCTATTGAGGATTTGTTCATAAAGTCCTTTCCTATGCCAATGTCATCGAGAGTTCTACCTAACTTATCTTCCAGCAAGTTTAGTGTTCCCGTTTTAATATTTAGATCTTTAATCCACTTCAATTTTAGTTTAAAAACTAAACATGGTGAAAGATAGAGGTCTAGTTTTAATCTTTGGCAAGTTGAAATCCAGTTTTTCCAACACCATTTATTGAAGAGGCTATCTTTCCTCCAGTGAAGATGGTTGGCTCTTTTGTCAAAGATGAGGTAGCTGAGTATGTCTGGAGTTGTTTCTGCATCTTCTAATCTATTCCACTGATCCTTGTGTCTGTTTCTTTGCCAGTACCATGCTGTTTTTATCACAGTGGCTTTGTAGTATCCTTCTCTTTAAAATAGGAATCTGCTGTCTCAATCTCAAAACATTGTTGTGAAAATCAAATGAGATTAAAGTACTAATATGGGGCTGGTTGTAAAATCTTTGAACAGATAAAAGTTCTTGGAAGCATTGCAAAGGTGAGCACAATCTCTTCTGATTAACATTTACTGTAGAATATACCATACTACTAATGACAGTCTAAAGAAGAAGGTTGGGTTTTAGAGCTAGAAAACTGAGGTTCAGACTCTCCTAGCTGCACCATCAGCAAATACTTAATTTTTATGAAACTCTGTTACTTTATACAATCAATGCATTTATTTTAAGATTGAATCTGATAATATATATTGAGGTCCAGTATATTGTCTGATATGTGATAATCACTTAATAATCAATAATTATTGATGTAGTTGTTTTCTTTTAAGGCACATTTGCAAACTAGCTAGATAGGAAAGTCAAAACCTAAGCACTGACCATTAAACTCTAAATTCTGGCCATGCTGAAATCGATTTTATGAGAAAAGCATGCTTTAAAGTGATTACTTTCATAAAAATACTTTTTAATTTTTGAGACATATATGCCAAACAAAGCTAAAAATCACATCTAAGCTGGATACATGCAAGGGAGGCCAAACCCCTTGAGGTGACTTGGAGATATTTTCTTCAGCAGTTTAAATGGTAGATACACAGGGCTCAGGCTGTCCTTGAATGAGCCCGAGTCACTGATCCAGCCTTGCACTGGTTCTGCTATATACCTCATTCTCAGACACTCTTCCATACCAAATGACAACACAGCTGTTAGAGTATGCTACATCACTTCCTCACGGACTCTGATGAACTTGACAACCAAGGGTGTGTGTTGCTTCTTTGCTTAACTAATCCAGTTGCCTTTGTTGCTACAATCTGCAGTAAGGAGCTGGAATTCTATTTGTTCTGTGTTAAAGTACCCACCTAACAGGAATCCTTACAGGAAATATTAACAACCAAAAGCCTTCTTTGTGAACAGTAGTATTCCATTTAATTCTTACACTGTCTTACCCATTTGCCTTTCGAAGAACATCAAATAGATTGCCTGGTGATGTGTCATTCTGAAACACATCTGGGAAACTAGAGAGTAGCTGCCACAGGGCTGTCTGCTCCTGCACTTTTGAAAAGAAGGACAGCACTTTGACCATATCCTGAAACACCAGCTTCTGGTTAGTGGGATCACCTGATACCTTGAAAAATAAAAACACAGAGTAAATGATACTTAAACATTTGTAATCCCATGGTTTATTGTCTTCCAAAGCATCAAACATCTAGATTTTCACATAAGCAGTTCTTTCAGTGTTTCACTCAGCTTGAAGCCATCATTTATTTGGAAAAAATGCAATCATTTCTAATATTCACAAATATAATTGGATGTTTTCACTATAGATCCAGAAATTGGCAAATTTAAAGTTTCATTAACAAAGGTATATTTTTGTAAATTATTTTAAATTATATGTTGTAAGTCAAAGCTAATTTCTTGAAGCAAAATTAGTTTCTGAGTAATGTTTTGATTTTTCTTTGAGACCTGAAAAGTCTTCCCTCTATTTTTTACTAGAGCTTTTATTTTTGGGTGGAGAACCCTTAAAACTAATATATAAACAATTAAGATATAGAAATATAGACGCCCTACC